ATATATATATATATATATATATATAATAGTATTTTATTGTTTTTTAATTATGTATTTGTATAATATAGAAATATTTATTAATAACTAGTAAATTAACATTATGATTTCAAATTCTATACATATTAATATTAATAATATAATTATTTAAATAATAGAATACGTGAACTTCAATAAAGATAAAATATTTATATACATTAAAGTGAAATTCATGTAGGCTTATAGGAAGATATTGAAGGAATAGGAAATACAAATAGTGTTGAAATATACCAACAGGAAAGATTATAAATATAAAAAATAAAAAAATAAAAATAAAAATGGGGGGGGTAACAGGGGGAAGGGGGGAAGGACAAGAAGGGACCGAGGTTTTAGTAGACAAAATATCATATATACATGAATTCTAAGTTTAAGGGAAGGGTATTGTAATAATTTTAAAAACATCTCAAACCTTTACTCACCTCTCCATCCCAAACCCTTCTCTTTCATCTTTCTACTCCATTTCTTCGGTCATGTCATACTGTAGCCCAATTGAAAAATCAAAAAACACCCTACTGTAGCCCCAATTGAAAAAATCAGAAACCACGTTCTTAACAAAAAAATGATTTATAATGAGTTTTGTATCTTATAATTTGTTCTTATCTAATTTTATCCAATTTTCACAAGCATAAAGGAATGGTAATTGACCTGGAAAAAATCAAAAATACTCGTTGTTAAACAATGTCTTACAAAAAATGATTTTATAATGAGTTTTTATTTTATAATTTTTGTCTTATCTAATTTATCTAATTTTCACAAGCATAATGACACTCCGAAAGAATGGTAATGGGACTGGAGGATTTTTTAGAGATGATGATTCAACATATGCAACATGATGAAATTAGAGAAATTAGTGAAGATGTGTGAAATTAAAGAGATCTTGAATGAACCTTTGCGTCAAGGTGAATATGTCAATGACTCAACTCTATAGAAACAAATTGTTTAAGACAAATTGTTTAAAGGCAAGTGTTTCTGATTTTTTCAATTGGGGTTACAGTAGGATGACAGAGAAAAGGTTGGAGTGAGAGAGATGAAAAGAAGGAAAGGATTGAGAGGAATGAGAGAGGTGAGGAAGGGTTTGGGGGGTTTCTTTTTTTTTTTTTAAGTTTTGAGAATCAAAATTATTAAAATACCCTTAACCTCAACTTAGGAATCCAGAATTATAAGGGTATTTTTGTCTACTAAAATACGGTACACATTGCTAAAATGTAACAGACTGAAAAAAACAGGCGTACGCGCGTAGCAAACCCCTATATTATATATATATATATATAATATTATATTATATATATTATATATATATAATAAAAATTTATATTTTTTATATTTTTTTTTGTATTATATGCATCATTCATTTTTTTTGTAAATTCATTTTCGCATTCCTTTTGGTTCAATATGTATGATTATATCAGATACCATATCTTTGAATGGATCCAAACAGACAGCAGGATGAATGAATTGTTTTCTGTTATGCACGGTTTGAATGAGTTACCTTCTTTCCTTATATTACACTTTTTCTATCATAAAATCTCTCTTTTTTATTGTGCCATTCATCATGTATTACGGACAATTCTATATTTCTAACATTTACTTTTTTATCTGCTATCAAAGTGCACGGGCCATTTATTCTCATCACAGAATCTTCATACCAGCAAAGAATATTGAGTAAACTTTCTCCGAATTTTTTTTACATAATTATCAGGTTTGTTTCTTTTATCCCTTACTATATCCATTTAGAAAATCTCATTATTACATTTTATATAAAGTTTGTCAATTAAAATTCAAAGATTTGAAGAAATATGATTTCTTGTAGTTAACCTTATCTGTCTCCACCTTTTTCTGATATCTTTTAGTTAGGGGGTTGAAATTTCAGTTTCACTATTTTTTAAACTTTTCTTTTCTATTTTAGGCTTTTGGATTTAAAAGTCATTAAATGTATTTATTAGCAGAATTTGAAAAAGTATAATTAAAATAGAATGAATATTTAATGAACTTTATTTCTTTTAAAAAAAATCAAATTCTTTTTTTTTATATTTAGAAAACATTTTCTTTTCTAAAGATGAAAATTTAAATTAAATCTATATATATAATTCTATTTCAAAATCATTTGGAAAATTAAAATTAATTAACACATTTTAATTAAGCAAAATAAATTATAAAAAAATAGGATAGAATATTATTAATTATGTTATTTAAGATAATTGCAATATCTTATAGATCAAAATACATTTAACCCATGTTTATATATTCTCATCATATCTTTATTTTACAGAAGAAGGCGCATATCACATAAAGTAACAAAAGTTTAAAATTTACTAAAGAGAATATAGTAGGTATTTTGTTTTTTTATTACAATCGCACACACAATTAACAGTTAATACATTAGATCTATGAATTGCATTTGGTTTATCAGAAATTGCTTCATTATTTTTATGTTAAGGGTAGGTTATTATGTTACTTTTCATGTTCATTAATCTATGATTGTGGTATCAGTATCAGTATATAAAGGATCTATATGAGAGTAAATTTTGGATGAAATCAAGAAACTATAAAAAAAAGTTGGCCTGTTTTGAAACACAGGTGCACCAAATAAGAGAAATATATATGAAATTATGAGAGAAGAAGAAGAGGATTACATTTTATTCTGAATTATGTAATTGTGTTTATAGTACGGTTAACCACTATCTTAAACAGAATTAACAAAATTAATTAATCTCTTGACATTCATAGTTAATGAGTGATGCATTCATGGTTAATCAGTAATGGAGCCTTGCAATGTCTTGATACTAATTAGTGTTCTTTCTGCAGTGAGAATGAGACAAAAGAAGTCAAAGGATCATACTGGAGTATAAGACCAAGTTTCTCAAATCCTACAAAATCCTCTGGGATTCGGAAGAGATCAAATGAGCA